ACGAGCGTGCCGTACCTCGACGGCGTCCTCGAGGAGATGGTACGGCTCGGGACGCCGGTGCCAGTGCTCGAGCGGCAGTGCGACCGCGACACGACGGTGCTGGGCCGCGCTGTGCCGAAGGGGACGACGATGCTGATGCTCGCGCAGGGGCCCAGCTTGACGTCGCCGGCGCTGCGGATTCCCGAAGCGGCGAGGAGTTCGTCGGCGAGGCCGTGCGGGGCCTGGGATCCCGAGGGCATGCAATTGTTTGCGCCGGAGCGGTGGCTGTCGACGGACGGCGCGGGGAACGTCGTATTCGATCCACTGGCCGGGCCGGTGCTGGGGTTCGGCGGCGGCGTTCGGGGGTGCTTCGGGCGGAAGTTGGCGTATCTGGAGATGAGGATCGTCTGTACTCTTGTAGCGTGGAACTTTGAGCTTTTGGACTGTGGCGAGGAGCTTTCTGGGTATGAGGCCATGGAGGAGATTACGTACAAGCCGACGAGTTGCTACATGAAGCCGAGGCGGTGGGAAGACGCTTGACGGTTTGGCCCCTTTTTATGATGGGTCGGCTCTTTTCCGAGCTCATCACTGTTCGCCGTACAAGTACCAAGTACGCCGTACTATCATTGCACATTATCACGTCGGATCCATAGCACCCGTCTGCTACAAAGCCCAAAGCCAGTGGCAGCTTTGCCTGAGCGCGGTGACCTGTGCAGCTTGATTCCCGACCGAAGCGAGTTCTGTAGTTTGTCGAGCCCACGTCAAGCGTAATCATAAAGACACGAAGGAAAAGAACAGTGGCTGGGCATTCATCTGAACTGTGAAGTGTGCGTCTTACACATACAACTACTCAGTGTGACAACACCCAGGAGGGACTGCTCAACCTTGTACAATCACAATCTGCCTCCCATTTCTTTCGGAATACTCTTGGTCATGATCACAAGATTTCGCATACAACACCGAGCCCTTCCATTGTCGTGTTCAATAACACAGCGCACCCAAGCTCCGCGACGGCTCCGCGGTCACAGTAATGACATGACATTCATATATGCGTCATGGGGTATCTACTCTTCCTCGGCCGGATCCATAAGCCAAGTGGATCGTTCATCATGCATCCAGGTCAACCAGAAGCTGTTGACCACCTGCCGCCCCAAACGCCGTGTCGCATGCTAAAAAAGGGCGAACCTCATGCCCAGAATCTCGCGCAACGCCTCCTGCAACATCGTACACGCACCTGCCTGCTTTTGCTTCTTTTCATCAAGTCGTAATCGCTGCCGCCTTTTCCGAATCGGGCGATTTGCGGCCCTCCACATCGGTCAGTCCCTTCTGCCGCAGAATGTTGTGCAGCTCGCCCATGCGCACCGGGCGCGTCAGGAACAGGTCCAGCCCGCTCGCAAATGCCTCTTTCCGCGCCTCTTCAGAACCCAGACCAGTGATGGCGATGATGGTCGTCGGAGCAAGTTTGTTGAGACGCTCGAATTGGCGAATTCGCCGCGTTGATTCGAGGCCGTCCATGACAGGCATATTGATGTCCATGAGAATACATGAAAACCTTCTGGGGTCCGCTGAGAAGGCCTCGAGTGCCTCAAGTCCGTTCATTGAAGTGCAGTGCTCTCGCCCCAGCCTCTTCATAAATGTGGATAGGATCTGGACATGTTAGTCTGAGTCTTCATCGAGACGGGACGTGACAACTCACCTTGAGGTTGATAATGTTATCGTCAACAATCAAAAAGTGTTTCTGGTCGGTGCTGGAGAAAGCTGCAGCTCCAATGGCATCGGCGCTCATCGCTTCTGTCTGGATCTCTTTGACTGTTTCGACCGCGTCTTGCGCTTGGCCCGCTTCCTTTGCAGCGACAGGCGCCTCGATAGGGACTGATTCGTTGGCATGAGTGGCTTGGCTGACACTGATACTGTTCGTAGGGGGTGTTCGCCGTTCGGGCAGAGCCAGGTTGAATTCGGAGTCGAGATCTAGGTTCCATAGCCGACAAGCCATCGAAGACACATTTGATTCGCCGGGGACTCCGTTGGGTTGTAGAGTGGCTGTGGTGCTACAAGTATTGTTGGACAGCGCAGTGTTCCGGGCATTCGAAACTGATGCCGCCGCAACGGCGTTGACGATCTTAAGCTGTTGCCACCGGGTCAACGCAGCCGCGACCGCCTTGCCAAACTTTCTCGGCGTGTTTCTGCAATCGATCAGCAAATGGCTTGAAAAGGGTGCTTCGGAGACCTACGGTTGATGAACAAACTCAAAAACGGCATTAGGGGCTGACGCTTTCAGCACAGAGTCGAACTTCATAGCGTTACCTGCGTTGTGACATATCACAACGCTAGGGACTGGATGCTGCTGGATAGAGCGGGCGTCGAGTTGGCTGAAGGCTGCCTCGCTGTAGATGATAACATCGGCATCGGAGGAAGCGGCGCCGGCGACGCTCTTCATGCCACCCAGTTGCATTCCGAACCACCTCAGTGGGAGGGATTCAATAGGAATATCCTTGCCATCAGTTGTGCTATTCGGCCCAACAGGCTTCTTGGTGAAACCAACAGCCGACACCTTGACGTCGTGCAGGATCTTGGAGTCAAATGCGAAACGGCTATCGACCTCCTTGGCAGACTTCTGCGTCGGCGAATGGGTGAGGGGAAGAGAGACGGTCACCGTGGTGCCCCTATTTACGCGACTCTTGACGCTGATAGAGCCCCCAAGAGAGCCCACAATCTGGCGAACGAGGCTGAGGCCCAGACCGGTTCCCGGCGCGAGGCGGTTTTCTTGGGAGAACGGAACAAAGAGCTTGGTGCGCAGGAACTCCTCGGTGATACCCTTGCCAGTGTCGGCGACGGTAACGACAACGTTGGCAGAGCCTTTTTGCGGCCCCTGAGCTGCGGCCTCTTGTCCAAGGGTGATCTTGATGTGGCCGTTCGATGTGTACTTCAGTGCGTTACCGAAAAGGTTCATAATGATACGACGAATCGCACCGGGTTGAGTGGAAAATGCCCACGAGCAACTAGGGTCAATATCGATGATGACATGGACGTCGCCGAGATTTGTTGGCAGGCTGTTCGAGCTGGCTCGGGTCTTGCTCAGGTCTGCAGAGTGGATAGTGTCGAGGCGTTCCTGGGCTGGGCTCATGGGGCCCTGCGCACCGTGTCTCGTGAGCTGTTCGGCAACCATGTGTTGGAAGCTGTGGCCGATGAAAACGCTCTCGATGACTTCCTCGGCGAGGGCATCAAGCTGAATCTCCGACACCAGGGTCATCATGCCGTTTTCGATACTTGTCTCTTCTTTGCTGTCGTGCGTCATGCCACGACGGCCCTTGTTTTGCCTCCGACGTGCTCTCGACGACCGCAGAAATGTGTTGATTTTGCTGTGCGCGAGCAACTGTATTGCAGTTAGGATCGAGAAACAGATCTAGCTCGCGAAGAACATTCTTACATGATCAATAGTATCCAGAAGCGTCTTGCCCGAAATCTCAATCGTATGGACAACATCGACTTGGAAGGCGTCCAGCTGTGTGTCGTGGAGCAACTCGGCAGCGGCGACGACGCCATGCAGCGGCGAACGCAGCTCGTGGCTCATGGAGCCGAGAATGTCTGTTTTGGCCTTGTCCGACACGGCAACATCGAGCCGCCGGATCTCCGCCATGGTGATCATGCCGAAGGCCCTGAGGTAGGGCAGATCCGCGTCCTTGGTAATCATGCGAGCCGAGTTCTTGCTCCAGACGAATCCGCCAGCGTGCCACCTGTCTTTGTAGGGGTCCCACAGGGGCACCATGGCGATGCTCCTCGCGGCGGGAAAGAGCCTCCCGATGGTTGAAGCTTCGTTTCTCCGTGCATACGGCGAGCCTCTAGACTTGCATTTCTTGATGTTGATCGGCTGAAAGCCATCTTCCGCGCCTCCGAATTCCTGAGTCACAGGGTCCGAGTCGTCGCCTGATGAATCTTCCGAGTACCAGGAACCAGCTTCGTCAAAGCTGAAGATCTTGCCGTTCGGATAGCGCCGCATGAGCTTCTTGAGAAACTTCTCTGTGAGCGTTTTCGGCGCGTTGGCATCCACTACATGAGAAGAAGGGGGCACCGGATGGTTGTATGACGTAGAACTGCCAAAAACGCGGCATGGCGTGTCCTGATTGCTGATTTGGCTTTGCCCCGATAAACTGTCATCGCTGCTCGAGGTGGGACCGTCAGAATCGAGCGACGTGTTGTGCGGGCTCATGGAGTTAACGAGTCCGCCAAACGAGCCGACACTTGCGTCAAGGAACATGGCTCCGTCGATATCAAGAGACTCACGGATGATATGTGCAGCCTTGGCGAAGATGCGATCGACCTCGACCTGGTGGGGATCAGCTGGCAATACGCTGGAAGCAGTCGTGCTCGTCGTTTCAATCGTGTCGGAAGAGCCTGAGCAGGATGCGGCGACGCCATCGTTGGTCACAGGACTGATGCTTGGGCGGATAGCTTCCTGCATTCCAGCAATCTCTTCGGACGCAGCGTCAGAGACCTCGACGAGGCCGTCATCGCCGACGACGATGCGGGGTGCCTCGGGCCCGTCCGGAGTGTAAGAAACCCCATTGGGCTCATAGGCTCGTGCTTCAGCAATGTGGTGGTCGGTCTCAGACCACCAATTGCCAGGCTCGTCTCGGCCCTGGATGAAGTTGCTCAGGCCGTGAACCATCCGCTCGCTGCGCACATATGTGTCGGTGACGCGTCTCGCCTCCATAAGGCCCATGATGGTCCGAGACAGATCACTCATGAATTCGACTTGCTCGTCGGTCAGGGCGTGGCGGGCTTCGGGGCCGAAGACGCAGAGAACGCCAATATTGATGCCTCTGGCGGAGCGGAGCGGCACACCAGCATAATATTTGTGACTGGGTGTGCCGCTAACGAAGGGTCGCTCGTGGAATCGCGGATCGACAGATAAATCAGGAATCAAAGTCACGGGGAGAGCATGTTCATTGTTGTCATTCTTGGGCCCCGTGTATACTTTTTCGCCCGCTCCCATGAGAACATGCTCGCAGATACCGTACGTTCGAGGGATGGCAGTGCCGCAAAGCCACAAGTGATCCTCAAAGTTGGGAGTGTTGGCGCGGAGGGGCAGGGTCGGCGTGGCTTCGGCGACAACGTACTGGCGGCGGCGGTCGAAGAGGGAGATGAGGCGCGAGAGCATCGAGCGATGCGCACAACTGGGCCAGGGCGGTCAGGTCGTATCGGAACTGGAGGAGAAGTGTCTCGCGCGGGACGGGGCGATGAGGTTCGTTCAGCACGGTTTTTGAGATGAGGAGGGAGTCGTATCTGTCGGCAGGTCATGTCAGTTCACGAATGTTCGTGCATGCATGCACACGGTCAAGGTTGGGGGAGGGGGAGAGGGGGGGGGAGAGAGGATGAATGATGCGACTGCCAGCAGTAGGACGATGGGCACGTACTTGAGAGTCTCCCACTCGCGGACGCCCTCGTTGACATCGGCCATATCTCCGGTCCCTAGAAGGTGGGGGATTGCGCAATGGTCTGCGAGGGCACGAGAACCGGTAGATGGTCAGGTCCGAAGTTTGTTGTAGGTCGACCGAGCCTCCTCGTCGTCGAAGGGGTTTCCGTGTCGTTCGTTTGGTGGCCCGGAGAGAGAGAGGCGCTCGGTGGAGGTTTGGAGCTTGGGTGGAGGAGGCCAAGAACGCAGAGACGCAGGACGAAAGCCTCGCGGGACGCTGAAGAGCGTGAATGGCAAGGGCAACGAGCGAGACAGGGCAGGGTCAGCCGAGTCGAACCCAGGGAGGCGAGCTACACGCGGCAGACGGCAAGTGGCAGTGGACAAGCGCAGCGAACCTCAGCTAAGGTCCCTTCCCATGTGAGGTCGGTAAGGGGGGATTTGGCCGTGTGGGCAGGGCAGGAGGAGGTTTGCTTCCGGGGTAAGTAGGTGGACAAGAGGGGGAAGGAAAGGGCCTGGCCAGACCCCTAGACCAGAATCGAGGCAAGTTCGACCCTAGTAACCAGCCTGGGGGGGGTGGCCTTGGTCGAGAGTGATCCAAAAAGCGAGAACAACGTCAACGTCAGCAGGCTGCCCCAGCTAAGGTGCCTGTGCGATGCGTTGCGTGCGATCCCTACGCTGCGATGCGGTACATCTAGCGATCGTCGATGGGGGCTCGTCCGTTGAGCATTCTCTGTAAACAAGTGCTCGATTCTTGCGGGAGCTGGCAGAGCAAGAAAGCGACAAACCAGAGCGAGTGTCCCTCGTCCACACAGAATGGCAAATGTTCAGATTTGCATGCATCAGCCACGCCCGAGGGCAGATTTCCATGTAGCCACACCCAGTCCTGCCTCTCCCCACCCCTGGTCGTGCGGTTTCGCCCCCTCTGGCGGCCGATCCCAGCACCTGAACCCGATGGCACTAAAAGGCACCAGGTGGGGGCGTGTCATTACCCAATCAGTGCCTGTCCTCTCCCGATCCAAGAAACTTTCCCTCCTCCCCCTGCCCTTGGCCCCTTGGCCCTGTGAAGATCGAGCACTGCGATTCTGTTGCATCGAGATTTGTCCTTCAACCCATCGAGATTCATCCTCCACTCTCCGTCATCCAGCATCTCCATCATCCATCAAAAGCCATGACGTCGGACCTGTCGCCGAGTTGTCTCTGCTGGTATGATTCGACCACAAGGTGCCAAAGATCGCGAGACGGCAAATCTACGGCCCCGGCCGCGATGGCCCCGAATCGTACGCGGCACCCGTAGCGGCCGCCGGCTGCGAGCTCGATGAGACCAACCAACAAAACGGGCCCTGCCCCCCCCGCCCGTTGACTCGGCTGTGGAAAAAGGAAAAGGGGGTCCGGGTTCTGGTAGAGGCAGGGACCAAATGCCTGGTTGCGCGGTGGCCCGCCCACATGCACCCCATTGCGGGACGATGCTGCACACTGCGAAGACTCACTCCAAAGGATTACTCATGAGGAGGGGGCATGTTCGCGATGGTGTCATCGCCCCATGATGAGTCTTTTGACTCTGGCTTCGGCAGAATCACCCAAAAAAAAAATCGGGATTCATCGTCATTTGCTTCACCACGTACCCGGAGCTCCGATACCTGTCAATTGAGTTGAGTCGCAAACGCCAAGAAAAAGGGGAAAGAAAAAGAGACGACGACGCTTCTTTTTGACGCAACCGTCTCACGACCCCAATGACCAACTCTGTCCCCGCCCAAACCTTCTCCGAAGTCCCGGATGGGATCCTGGACCTCCTCATCCTCCATCTGCCGTACTCTTTGAGTCTCGTACGCCGCCTCCAGTACACGGCTGCTTCTCCCACCGGCAAAACCCCCAGCGCTCACATCGTCGTGGCCTCTGATAGTCCGCCAGCAGAGCCCACACGTCACGATGCCGCCTTCGATGCCACCGCTCGCCATTTCACGGTCTCCTACTTCGACCCGTCCCGCGGCCCTGAAACCCAGGCTTGGATCTACTCGACGCTCGAAGACGCCCACGCCCGTGACTCATCCGTCGTCCTGACCCAGGACGAGAGGGCGCACTGCGAGAAGCAGATCCTCGCCGTTGTGTCCGAGATCAAGCATATCGCTCGCGAGTACGATGCAGTGGAGCCCCTCGCCTTCCCTCGCCAGGTCATAGTCGGCACCCTCCACCATGCCGTACGCGCCGTCATGCGCAAGCACGACGTTTCCCTGACCCATCGCCACGACTATCAGAAGATCATATTTCCGTTCGATAAGCTGCCCTCGGCTGATGCAGCGCTGCCAGCGGGCCTGAGCTTCGAGACCACAACGCTGGAGGATTGTCACATCGTCAAGTCGCGGACGGACATTCCGCGCAAAGTGTAAGGCTGCCCACCTGACGATCCATCAAAATGGACATACGGGCACCAGCTGATAGTCGCCAGGACGACCTTGTCCACGTTACCGAGCATAACCATCAAGCAAGCAGACGGGACGCCCGTCGCATGGGCATTCCTAGGCATGTTCACTCTCGAGGCCAAGAATCCTCAGCCGCCAGGGTATCCCGCTAACAGACGACGACAGGCCCTGACGGCTCCATGTGCAGTCTCCACTGCGAAGAGCAACACCGACGCAAAGGCTTGGCTCGCGCCGTGGCCGCCAAGGTCATCCGCGAGAGGACACGCTTCTTCGGTAGCGAACCGTGGTCCTCATCCGAGGTTGCGCCAACGAACGTGAGCAGCCACGCCATGTGCAAAAGTCTCAACGGAGAGATCAAGTGGGATGTTAGCTGGTGAGTTCTCTTTTTCGTTCCAATTGCGTACTTCGCTGACACTTCCAGGACGCTTCTTGGGATAGAGGAGAATAGTTCATAAATGATTAATGCCGCCAGTCGCTGGACGGCTAAATATTCGACAGCGGCGTACGTGCCGGGACAGTGGAATCAGAAATTGTTCCGTACGAATTTAGATTGCTGCGATACTGCCGTCTTACTCTGTGACGCAGAAGTTGGATACTCTCGCAAGGGGGTCATTGAGAAGCCAAAAGGACCCATCACGTTCACCAGATGCACCATTCACGGTAGACACGCTCGCAGGTGAAGTTTCCCTGCAGTTTGTGATCAGTGGACCGCCTGGTAAGATATCCCTCGTCCGGATACAGCATCAGACCAAGTTCAGGTTGGAACTTGAAGAGGTTTTGAAATGCCGTCCAGCAGAATGATACAATTGTCCCCAACACCCTTATGTTGCCATCGAAGCACAGCCCTCTCAGCCCTACGACCTCCGAGTGGGCGGGTCAGCCTCGGTGTGATCCCACCGACCGACCCCTCCAGGAGATCTCGATACGCCCAGGCTCTCGCGCCTCGACCTATCACGTCCGACCGGCCAAGTCGCCAGCTGGTCATAGGACGTCAAGACCACTGCTGATGCCATCATCGCCATGGCATGAGTTACTGCCAGGGCATTTTGTGCACGACTCTTTTCCCCTCGCAGGATGTGGGTGCCTGGTGGAGAAGACTGAAGTCATTCTGTTGGAGACTGCGCTGGAGACGCAGGAGGTTGTTCTCCGAGGGTGAACATGTCGCACGGGTGATGTCACTTTTTCTGGGTCTTGCGATGCTTTGTATATATGTTGATCGTGTGCTGTTGCGCATGTGTTTCTTCTGCCCGCATTGGACTATACTCACAAGATCTGATTAAATCGACAAGATTTGCATAACGAGCCCAACAAGAGACCACCAGAAACGAGGCTGAGATTCAAAAATGGCACCTTCTCACGGACAAAAGGTGAGCCCGCTCGTCCAAGATGCCAGATGTACGAGACAAGACTGACAGCGCACGAGGTCGATCTCGGCAAGGACGCTCCCGTGACCCAAGAGTCCACAGGCGCCGTCCCCTCGGGCTCCCTCGCCAACGAGTCGGCCAAGAAGGGCGGCGACTTTGCCGAGAACAGCGGCGTCCAGGCAGGCTCAACCGCCGGCTCCAAATCGTCCGGTACAGACGCCAACAACGGCAACAGCAAAAGCAGCAACAGCAATGATGCGTCTTCCGGTACCAAGGGCTCGTCTGGCGCTGGCGCCGGCGGCAATGGAGATTCAAAATCCTCCGGCGCCCAGGGCGGCACGGCGCCGTCGTACGTCGAGAACCAGTACATCCGCGACGGCAGCGGCCCGCACGGCAAGAACCTGCAGGAGGGCATCGACTACGCGAACACCAAGGACGGCCTGAAGGCGGCGCTCGAGGCGGAGCCGGGCTCGGCGAATGACCCTGCGCGGGCGGCGGAGCAGCAGTTTTTGCAGTCGCAGACGAGGGCGGGGCGCGATGCTGGGCCGAAGGAGTTTGAGGTCGGGAGCAAGACTACGTTTGACAATCTGGAGGAGAAGCAGGCTTGAGGGTGGGCTTGACTTCAGAGTTGCGGAATGATGTATGAAAGAATGTATGAGTGTTGGCACTCTCGTTTCGTGAGACCTGCCATGGGGTACCTGGGTATGGCTGCTCATGTCGACGATTCTTGTTGAGTGCAAATGCAAGCAATATGAATGGCGCATGCCGTATCACATTATTGCCTGGTCCGACATTGGTAAAAGGCGACGTTGGCCAAATAGGAACATGGCGTTTGTATTCGGCCGCGAAGACCTCCGGCGCAGAGACGCCGGTTTCGTCAACTCGCCCGACGGCCGAATTCGTGATATCCAGTCCTCACATTCTATCAACTTAGATGCAACATCTAGCGACGTAGCTATTAGATCTATAGGGCCTGGTTCGATCTCGGCATGGTTCCTCCGGAATTTTCACGGGGTAGGCAACCGAAGAAATATCAGCCCGAGCAGTGATTTTGAAAGTCGTCATGTTTTCTCGACTGATTTAATTGCCTGTTCCTACCATAATTCAAGCACAAACATGCAGTTAACAACGGTAGTATAAACCTACCGTACTCACAAAATCAGAGAGTCGACTCAACAGGGACTTTCTTGTTTACTTCTTGGAGGTGCTTTTTGCACAACAGCGCTGACATGTGTGATGAGATGTCCAACCAGATACTCAAACCACGAATATGAGAACCACCTGACGCCTGGGCATGATGTGAACCAGTCAGATACTACTCCAAATCCAAAAAGCAAAATAGTGAATTAAGCTTGCCGAAATATGCATTTAGTCTAATCAAGTTGCTATGGCCTGTGCTCAGCCGTCTGAGACGGAACGGTGAATGTCATCGATGACGTAGCTCATATCCGCGATACAGCCACGACATCAACAGCCTCTAAAACCCACCCGTCAACACTTCACATCCCAAGAACACACAGACTCCAGAATCGCATTTATCCATGTTGCCTAGGTTGCCGGCAATATCTCTTGCTAGACGCGTCACAAGGACATGCACCCTCGCGCGCACCGCTCGCCCGCCCCAGTGCCAACCTCTCCACACCACAGCCATGAGCTGGATGGACTCGTGGTCGCGCCCCTCCAAGTCGCAAGCGACGCCGGCGCCCTTCTACCTCCTCCCGCACGGCGACGCGACCCCCTACTGCCGCACCTGCGGCCGCGTCATCTCGAGCCGCAAATCCGCCGCGGCCGCCACCAAGAAGCCCGACGCCAGGAAGACCGATGCCCCCAAGTACTGCTCCTCTCGCTGTCGCGGCCACAAGCCCGGCCGTCTCGACCGCGAGATCGAGGCCGCCTTTGTACGCTTCCTGCAGCGCGACGAGGCGCTCGCCGAGACCGGCGCGCCGCGAAAGGCGACCAAGGGCGACGCGCGTCTGCTCGGTGCCGTGCGATGCCGTCGAGAACCGCGTCTTCGGCAACAGGGCGGATCCCGAAAGGTCTTTGCGAGAGACCGGCGTCGAGGGTCATTCGAGAGGGACGCGATGAGAGACGAGGACGAGGGCATCGACATGCGGCAGCTGCGCGTCGGCGACGAGAGTGATTCCTGGCGAGGCCATCATTGACGAGATGCTCGGCCTCGCCAGGACCAAGTCTGCCGAGGTGGACCCCAGCGTGCAGGCCAGTCTATCTGTGAGGAGCGGCACGCGCGTGAGGCCGCCGCAGACCAGGTCGCAAGTCAACGGCAGCGTGGGCGGGGAGAAGGGCAAGGCGGAGAGGGTGGAGGAGACGGAGGAGATGCGGGAGAAGAGAAATGAAGGCCAGAAGCGCGCCCACGAGAGGGAGCTCGTGAGGTGCGCGGCGCGCAGGGGTGTTGTGTTCGGGTTTGCTGTCGATGGCCAGGAGGAGAGGAGGAAGTGCGAGGCTATCATGCAGGGCAAGGTCGTCGAGCCGAGCTTTGCAAAGGGCGACTGGGCAGTTCGATGGCGTGAAGAGTAGGGTCATCGAGCATCATCTGCCGTCCGCTCTGATGGAAATAGATGCACTGAGTCTCGAGAGCCATTTGACAATAAGAAAAAAAAATATTGCAGCGTTTGACCTACGTGGGACCTGTGTCTGTGTGGGAGAGTACCTTTTTGTTGTGTTCACGCTGTCCATGGCACGAAATGGACGAAACCCGCCAACTCGCTTGTGGCGATCCCTCTGCGAGATTGCCAACCAGCTGTTTCCCTCGTATGTTATGGCCTGGCCCTTGCTGTTCTGACGAAACGAAAAAGAACCGAGACTGGAGACTGCGTCTTTCTTGACCACAGCGTCACTGGAGGACTTTGGCTCGTTGGGGGTACGGCATTGGGCCAAGCTTACTGAGGAAATGGTGCTATGTAGGAGCTGATAATTATCCTTACTTTTACCTCGGTGGCCGGTAACTAGAACCATCATGCAAGTGCTTCTGGATTCCCCTTAGCCATAACATGGTGACCAAGATCGGCCCTCATCACAAATCCGAATGGTCAATCCGAAAGTGATACGCATACCATAATCCGTCTTACCCGTTAAGCCCTTGGGTCTCTTCGCATGAGGCCTCGGCCTTCGCCTTATCACCACCGGACATGACTGCCTCTTCGGGGTGATAGCGAGTCGGGCCTCGCAGTAAGCAACCTGCTGGAGCAAAGAAGGCGGCCCGTTGTGGTTGAACATTCTGCCGCCGTCGCCAAACCCCCCCCAGAAACTCCACGATTCCAGGATCCCACCCTGCAGGTTTCTCCGCATTCCGTAATTGCCGATGCATGGCGGCGTGCCTTTCCCCTCAGCCTTTAGCGGCTTGTGGGGGGGAATCGGGGCTCACCATCGGCCCGCCGTTCATCTTCATAGCACTCTTTTGCGTCCATGACTGAACAATGGCGAACCACATGTGGTATGGACCTTGCCGCTCGTAATTGCCGGCCCACACGCTACCCAAACGATCGCCGAGCGTAACCCCATGATGCCAGGAACTGGGGAAACAGTCAAGGTGACTGCTTGACATCGCCAGATTGACGCTGCGTCCGACACCCGAAGTCTGGATCTCGGCCATTGTTACCCCCCTTCTTGGATATTGCCCCCCTTTCACAGAGAGTCACGGTACAAAAGGAGGCGTTCGTCATCGACGACATATCATGGGGTTTCTGACATGGCCTTAGATTCCTGTCTCTTGCCAAACTCCCTCTCCGAAATGAAGTCTCTCCATCTCCCCGCCGCCATGTTGCTGGTGCCGGCGGCCCAGTTCGTCATGGGCGCTTGTGCCAGCAGATGCAGTGCCCTCGTCGACTCGCTGGACCTCGAGGACACCACTGTCTGGTTCTCCAGTCACGTCGCTGCCGGCACGAACCTTACGTTCCCGGGGAACCATCCGACCTGTACCCGCGCCAGCCAGGTTGTTGACGTTGACATCTGCCGTGTCTCCATGCTCACGACCACTGGACCGACGAGTAACACGAGCATCGAGGTCTGGTTGCCAGCCAACTGGACTGGTCGCTTCCTGAGCACCGGCAATGGTGGCACGGGCGGATGTATCCAGTATGAGGACATCAACTACGCCGTGTCGCGGGGCTTCGCCGCCGTCGGCACGAACAACGGCCACAACGGCACCATTGGCGAACCCTTCCTCAACAACCCGGGCGTCATTGAGGATTTCGCCTACCGGGCCCTCCATCTGGGTGTCGTTCTCGGCAAGCAGGTCACCAAGGCATTCTACGCAAGGCGCACACGAAATCGTACTATCTCGGCTGCTCGACTGGTGGTCGTCAGGGCTTCAAGGAGGCACAGGACTTCCCCGAAGACTTTGACGGCATCGTTGCCGGTGCCCCCGCTTTCGCGTTCACAAACCTCACGTCGTGGAGCGGCAGCTTCTTCACCAAAACTGGGCCGCCAGGCTCCCCCACGTTCCTGACGACCGAGCAGTGGAATGCCGTGTGGCAGAATATCCTGGTGCAATGCGACGGCCTCGACGGCCAGGTTGACGGCATTCTCGAGGATCCGGACCTCTGCCAGTACCGGCCCGAGGCCCTTATCTGCGGCGCCAACACGACGGGCACCTGCCTCACGGGCACCCAAGCGCAGACGGTGCGCGCCGTCTTCTCGGACCTGCACGGCATCGACGGCTCCCTCGTCTATCCGCGCATGCAGCCGAGCCCGCAGCTGGGCCTGCTCCTCGGCGGCCGGCCCTTCCCCTACACGAACGACTGGTTCCGCAACGTCGTCTACAACGACAGCAACTGGGACGCGGCGACGCTGGGGCCGGCCGATTACGCCGCGGCCGCCAAGCAGAACCCCTTCAACATCGCCACGTGGGAGGGCGACCTGTCGGGCGTGCGCGACCGCGGCGCCCGCATCCTGCACTACCACGGCCTCCAGGACCCCATCATCTCGAGCGACAACTCGGCGCGCTACTACAACCACGTCTCGCGCACCATGGGCCTCACGTCGGCCGCGCTCGACGAGTTTTACCGCTACTTCCGCATCTCGGGCCTGAACCACTGCGCCGGCGGGCCGGGCGCCACATTCATCGGCAACAGGGCCGTGGCCGTTGCTGGGGACGAGCCAGAGCGCAACGTGCTGTCGGCCATTGTGCGGTGGGTCGAGGAGGACATTGCGCCCGACCACATCCTTGGCACGGCGTACATCAACGGGACCAAGACTGCGGGCGTGAATTTTGAGAGGAAGCACTGCAAGTACCCAGCGCGGAACGTGTACCGATCTGGGGATCCCAAGCTGGCGGACAGCTGGGCGTGTGTTTGAGGTGCATGGGGCGGCGTTGATTTGGCTTTTGTATATTCCACGGAGACAAGGATTCCGTGATTTTACGTGCTTTGCATGGTTTCCAATTGCTTACTCTCAAAGTCCATGAATGGAGGCGTTGTCAGAGGAGCATGGGCAGAAACGAGTCCATCTCCTGGAAAGGGAGGTTCATGTCATATGAGAAGCCGGACCCAGTTGTGACGCAACGCCTGGTGCCTACTGTGTCGACGTCTGGCCAACATGGCCGTCCTACCTGCATCCATCTTGTGCTGTCGATTATTCACCGTAGGTATATGAAAGTCGCCCTGTTGATGAGGGAGAGCAATTGCCTAGCCCTTCTCGCAAAGCACAAGGTACTTTAGCGGACTGAAGTCTCTCGACGTTGCAATTCTGCCCAAGCCTTCGAAGTCGTCCGGCACGCTCGATGATCTTCTTGGCCGAACCTTCAACTGCTGTTCGGGGTCTAACCTTTGACTACTGTTCAAGACCCCCTATGACTTCATTGTACCCACTGGTTGACTCGGTTCCTCGGAGATGTGTTCAGAAGAGAGGCGGCAATTCAGACAGTGGAGCGCCATCTCATTGTCAAGGATTTTTGCGCCGGCACTGTTCGTCGTCCAGGTTGACGTCAAAATACGATGAACGAATTCAAATCCGTCAATAGCGCTGTTAATTGTCCGTTCTAGTTGAAGACCTGCCCTTCCAGGCACCTGCCTAGCTCAGTCGCGTGAGACCAGCGCTCATGTAGGCCGATGCCGCAGCTTGCTTTCACCTTCCCCCAAAGAAGACAATCATGACGTTGAGGTTGTGTCTCACGTTGTTGCCTGTACCCTTCGGGAGTGGCTGTGTGCTGAAGAAACGTCGGTGCTGTGCCGTAACCAGAGCCCACAGCTAGATGCTCCTCGACCTGTGGCCGGTCCCTTTGGTGGTCCGGGCTGCGTTTGAGGAGTCTCGGAGCATTTCGATTCAGGATTGACTCAAGATCATGCCCTCCTGTCCCGACCCGACCTTCCCGAAGCTGGTGAAGGCTCCCGGTGCTACTACCCTAGAATACTCACGCCCCTATTGACCAGTCCTCAACAGCGATGTCCATCGACTCGACAAATGATGCAGGCCACCAGCATGTGAATTGTCCATACGAGTGAGGCTGGAGCGGAGCAGCAGCTTCACACCCGACTCGGAAGCTAGACTATGTCAGGCCACACCAGTTGAGGGACGCAGGGGTCCCCGACCAGAGGACCAGGTTAGCTCAGATGACAGTCTAGGCGCCCTAGAACGAATGCAACGTCGTAAAGCTAGAGCGCATTCTTCGCCCTTGTGTTCCGCTCATCCATCACATCACGCTCGTTTTGCTGTCTTCTTCAATCCACGTTGCGCCCCAATCGACACCACGACGCCTACCGCGATACAGGACGAACGACGAACGGGCGACCAGTGTCCCTGCAGATCCCACGACGAGTGGAAGGGCGCTTGGGGGCCAAGGCCCCTTGCGATTTCGTCTTCAGCAGCATCCTCCCCATCATGTCTTCACACGCCACAGCCCTCTCTTCCTCATCAAAGCCTGAAGGCCAGGTGGCGGTCGCGCGAGCCAAGTACACCCGCCGCCGGGCCCGCGGATGGGAAACGACCAAGCTCTTCCTGCGGTCCCTCTCGCTGACGCTCTTCCTCGGCATCTTCATCACAAACATGACCTACCTCCCCATTGGCAACACAAGTTCGGCGCTCGACGAGATCTGGCCGTGGATGACCATAGCGGCGGCGGGGCCGGCGCTGCTCTGGGACGTCGCTGACCTCCTGACGCTCTGGGTGCGACGGGGCCGCGCCATCGCGCCCAAGGCGCAGATTGGCATCGAGCTCGTGCTCACGCTGGGGGCGGGCGTCGGGGTCGGGCCTCGTCGGGTGGCAGCTCACCATGACGGCGGCCGGGTTCTCGTCGGCGGACCCGGGGGCGCGCGCCGAGGGCGTCCTCGGCACGCTCTTCACGTTCATGATGCTGCTGCTGGGGGCGCGCTCGTGCTCTTTTCCGCGCGTGCGTCGACCGCCGGCGGAGCTGCGCACGCGGCGCCCGCCGCATCATGTACATCGAGGCGCTGGGCCAGGCCGTCTTCGTCGTGGCCAAGCCCAACGTCGGCTTTGGGCGGCTGGCCGTGGGCGGCGGACGCGACCGCAGCGCGACGGCCGACAGCACGAAGCAGACGGCGGCGTCGGTGACGTCGGGCACGGCGAGGGACACGGACAGCTTCGCCGGCACGGAGGCGCAGACGGACGTGACGTCCATGACGACGCTCGTGCCGGGCCCCAGCCAGGCGGCGAGCATCACGGCGCGACAGAGACCGCTCATGAGGCCGCCGCCCGAGGGGTACGAGCCGGACGAGGCCGAGATGGAGAGGCGGCGGCGGGGCGATGCGCAGCCGCAGTTCATGGTGGCCGAGGTCGTGGACATGAAGTTCTCGTCCAACGTTGTCGTGAACCCCAAGGAGGGCAAATTCCTCGTCGAATCGTCACGGTCCCCCGGCGTTGCGGGCGAGTCATCACGGTCACAGTTGAGGTCGGCGCCGATGGGCGAGACGAGAGCGGACAGGCCGCGGTCTTGGGGCTGATGTAGTAGTGCCTTTGCTCACAAGCAGTTGACTAGAATATGATTTGTTCATCCATCTGCTCTCGACACATATCTGACTGACAGTTCTCATGGTAGTACATGATACCGTGACTGGCTGCTGCTTTCATCATCGCAATGACCATTCCCAAGTCTTCATTTGAACAGGGCATGCATCAGGAACTTCAGGGAAGATGATCTACCCTCATCGTAATTACGCGGACTTCGAATCGTGTGGAGGCTCCCAGGAAGGGCGACCAACTGCCGAACCCTCCTTTAAAGTTTCTTGCTTCCCTCGACATGCCTTTCTTGAGGCCACCACCTGGAACTAAGGTACCTTAGGTATACATGTCCCTGGTATACATGTCCCTGGTATACATGTTCCTGGTATACATGTCCCTGGTATACATGTTCCTGGTATACATGTCCCTGGTATACATGTCCCTGGTATACATGTTCCTGGTATACATGTTCCTGGCATACATGTTCCTGGCATACATGTCCCTGGTATACATATTCCTGGCATACATGTCCCTGCTATAGCAGGAGGCCACCAAAGAGGGTTCATGAAAAATCAATGAAACCTCCTGAGGGAGCAAACTCCAGGAGACAGACGATCGAGACCAGACGGGCTCGGGACATCCGGATGCGCAGAGCATTCGGCGCCAGCAAAGTCAAATGTTGATGCCTAAAATGTTCCAGCCGCCGTCGGTGATGCATGACATTCACCGTTCGTGACCCCCGGAATCGGCTTGTGGCGCAGCAGGTCTTTGCTAGGTACCCAGGTACCTACCTACCTTGGAAAAAGGTAACTAGGTACCACGAGGGAGACCTACCCTGGCTACCTCCTGTCCCTCCCTATGGCCTCGCTTGTTCGGGCCCTTCAGGGGTTGACCCCTAATAATCCACTGAAGCCGCCCCGGCCCCTGTCCACCTACGCCTTTCCCTCGTCCCTTGCCTCTCTCCCTCTGGCCCACCTGTGCTCGACTCCTTCCACCACGAGCCCACCTGTCAGCCTCGTGAAGGCCGCCTCCCGCCTCCCGCATACCCCCCCCCCCCAAAGTAGCAAGGGAGCAGGCCGGGCGAGAGTACCTGAACACGCTACCAACCCAACAGCGCATACACCACACCTCTGTGTGCCCCCCTGCCATCACTGCCAGGCCGCTGGTCCCGAAACACACCACGTCAGCCTTGCCAACCTCACCTCCACCTCCACCCTCTCCGGCCGAGCATCGTGAACCCCTCGGCCACCGACAGCAATTCGACGACGCCCAGCCTGCGTATGGCCTGCGCCATCTCACCCTGACGGCCACCGCCGCATGGCCAGCGCTCGCTCACCTAGGAGTTGAAATCGAGACCCGCGCATCCTCTTCACCGTCGGACGACATGCCATTTCAGACTTGGCGGACAAGCAATTCAGAGCGGCCCAACAAGACGACGACACGATGGACCTGATACCACTGCGGAATCGGTCCAACACCACCACGGACACGACACCGCTCGATCCCGCCAGCATCTCCATCACCACACCCGAAGATACCCGCGGCGGCGCCTTCTACACGGCCGTCCCCCACCACCGCAGCACCCACCGCACAGCCTTCGTGCTGCGCGTCACCTCCATCATCCTCTCCGTCATGGCCATCTCCGTCATCTGCTACTCCTTCACCCACGACGACATTGAGCCCGACGTCAACGCCGCCTTTGGCGCCCCGACCGCCATTGTCGCCCTCGTCTGGTCGTCCCTCGACATCGTCCTGCGCATCGTCCGCGACCACGGCCTCTGGTGGCGCAACGCCGACCGCGACCGCCGCGACCGCCGCTTCAGCTTCGGCCACCCGGGCCTGCACGTCACCGTCCACCTCGCCATCTGGCTCGGCAGCGCCGTGCTGAGCATCTTCCTGTGGCAGAGCTACGTCAACCAGCGCACGCCCTGGCCCGACTGGTACGACCCGGACGTGTTCACGCCCGGCTACGACTACTTCAGCTCGTCCAGGCGCACCATGACCGTCGCCGTGCTCCACGCCCTGCTGCCGTGCGTTCTTCCGCCCCCTTGACACCCTCGTGTCGCTGCGTGCTAACAGTACCCACTGTCCAGGATCGTGCACTTTGTCCTCTTCGTCTTCGCCTGCATCGCCGCCGACGACAAGAAGAGGCACCACGTCGACGTCGTCTTCGTGCCGAGGGAGGACCTGCGAGAGTTTGAAAAGGTCCCGCCGGCGACGCTGTTCGAGGTCGTCCGCCGGAAGAGGCTGCCTATCGCCTACTATGCGAATCACTCGGTGCGGTACGAGCCCGGCGCCGACGGCACCGTGCAGATGCTGCGGGACTATAGCAGTCGGCAGCTGTCATGACGGGGGACTGGATGTTCTTGGTTGGCGTTTTTCTTTTCTTTACGGACACTTGGTACTATATACTGCCAGCATGCTACTTCGCCTCATGACACTTGCAGAGGTGAATCTGAGGCGCAACTCGAGGTGGCCCTTTATGTCCTTTCCATAGGACAGAATGTTAATACTATATGCCCCATGTCGTCTTGGGCCACATCACACGGTATCGCTGTCGCCTCATCCACCAGGACTCGATATCAAACAGACAGGGCACTCCATCCCCACACCACAGGTCATGTGACCGTGACGTCAGGCTTATTTCGAACTGTCAACATTGGCTGGGCATGCATTTACCCCCCCTCCGGAGCGGTGAGACCACTGTCTACAAACGCAAGAAGGGTCTCATCGTGCGATAGCGGGAGAGAAAAAAAAAAGCGAGGCCTACGTGACCATCGTTGCCGACATCCCAAGGCGTCGCCCTGGCTGGCATGGCACTGCACCGCCTCGCGTTGGCCGACAAAATCGCCTCTGCCATCGCCTCTGGCGCCCAAACTGCTGTTCTGACTGACATGTACCTTATCGGCGGCCCTATCATATCGCTTATCAGGACCAAATTTTCAAAAATCCAACCCGGCTGCCCCACCATGCCCACCACTCCCTCACACTTCCAAGGACCCCCCACCTTTTCCTTTGCCAGCCCGAAATCATTCTTGAGGTGCTTCTTCGCACCGCCCTAGACCTGACGTCTACCTCCTGTCCAACATCCCCCGACACGCCCTTTTCTTGTTTCCATCATTCGGGCATTCCTTGGAGGCTTCATTTTCCTTTGCTACATCAAACGCAAGGGAACTTCGACGGCCTTGACCAACGCAGCGCACAGTCTCGACGACCGCGCGCATAATTTTCTGATACCCCTCCTACTTCTCCTCCTGCCCCGCCATCCCACCCAAAACCCCGCCTGCAACGACAACACACACATCACCACACAGCACAACCCGTCATCATGGCCCCCTCCGCGTCCAAGGAGAAGCGTCTCGCGAAGAAGGCTGCCGAGGGCAAGCTCGACAAGAAGACGGCCGCCAAGCGTGTCGGCTCCAAGAACGCCAGCACCGCCGCCTCCTCCGTCAACGGCGACGAGCCCGAGCTCGACGCCCACGGCAAGCCCATCCAGGCTGATGGCCCCGCCACCGGTGCCGACAAGGCCGACGAGGTGAAGCGTCTCGCCGACCAGATGGACAAGCACGGCATCTCCGACCGTGTCACCACCGGTGTCCTGGCCTCGACCCAGACCTCCAAGGACGTCAAGATCACCTCCACCTCCCTCGTCTTCCACGGCCGCCAGCTCATCCAGGACAGCACCATGGAGCTGTCCTACGGCCGCCGCTACGGTCTCCTCGGCGAGAACGGCTGCGGAAAGTCCACCCTCCTCAAGGCCATCGCCGCCCGCGAGTTCCCCATCCCCGAGCACATTGACATTTACCTGCTGAACGAGGGTGCCCCGCCCACCGACCTGGGTGCCCTCGAGTGGGTCGTCACCGAGGCCGAGCGCGAGATGGAGCGTCTCGACAAGCTCGCCGAGCAGATCCTCGAGGACGAGGGTCCCGAGAGCATTGTCCTCATGGACGTCTACGATGTACGCATGCCCTGCCTCTCATTTCCTTCCGAGACATGTTCGTGAGACTGACCCGCCCTGCAGCACATGGAGTCCATGGACCCCTCCACCTTCGCCACCCGTGCCTCCCTCATTCTGACCGGTCTCGGCTTCAACAAGCAGACCATCAACAAGAAGACCAAGGACATGTCCGGTGGCTGGAGGATGCGTGTCGCGCTGGCCAAGGCGCTGTTCGTCAAGCCGTCGCTGCTGCTGCTCGACGACCCCACGGCCCATTTGGATCTCGAGGCCTGTGTGTGGCTCGAGGAGTACATGAAGAAGTGGGAGCGCACCCTCGTGCTCGTCTCCCACTCGGAGGATTTCCTCAACGGTGTCTGCACCAACATGATTGACATGCGCGACAAGAAGCTCATCTACTACGGTGGTAACTACGACTCGTACGCCAAGACGAGGGCCGAGTTGGAGACGAACCAGATGAAGGCCTACCACAAGCAGCAGGACGAGATTGTTCACATCAAGAAGTTCATCGCCTCGGCCGGTACCTACGCCAACTTGGTCAGACAGGCCAAGTCGCGCCAGAAGATTCTCGACAAGATGGAGGCCGACGGCTTCATCCAGCCCGTGCACCAGGACCGCGTCTTCACCTTCCGCTTCGCCGACGTTGACAAGCTGCCGCCCCCCGTCCTGTCCTTTGACAACGTCACCTTTTCCTACTCTGGTGACGCCAAGGACGACCTGTACCGCAACATTGACCTCGGTTTCGACATGGACTCCCGAACCGCCCTCGTCGGCCCCAACGGTGTCGGCAAGTCGACCCTGCTGCGTCTCATGACGGGCAAGCTCTCGTCCACCAACGGCTCCGTCACGCGCCACACCCACCTCAAGCTCGGCCTCTACTCGCAGCACTCGGCCGAGCAGCTCGACATGACCAAGTCGGCCCTCGACTTTGTGCGCGACAAGTACTCGGAGAAGTCCCAGGACTACCAGTACTGGCGCCAGCAGCTCGGCCGCTACGGCCTGACGGGCGAGTCCCAGACCTCGCTCATCGGCACCCTGTCCGACGGCCAGAAGAGCCGTATCGTCTTCGCCCTGCTCGCCATTGAGAGCCCCAACATGCTGCTGCTCGACGAGCCCACCAACGGTCTCGACATTCCCACCATTGACTCGCTGGCCGACGCCATCAACGCCTTCAGCGGCGGTGTCGTCGTCGTGTCGCACGACTTCCGGTATGCTTCCTTGGCCCCTTCCTTCTTTTCTGGCCCAACGTTTGCTAACACGTCTCACAGTCTCCTCGACAAGATTGCCAAGCAGATTCTGGTGTGCGAGAACAAGACCATCAAGCCTTGGGACGGCACGATAGGCGAGTACAAGAACTACCTGCGCAAGAAGATGATCTCGGCCGGTGCCGTCTAAGCGGTGAGAGAGTGCGAGCGCGTTTTGTTGCAGACAAAACGATGAAGAGACGAGAAGCCTCCAAGAAGAGAGACGACGAGCAAAGAACGATCACGACCGGAATGCGAAAGAAGGGGGAAAAAAAGTTTTCCCGAAAAAAAGCGCTCATCTGGTCGAGGCTCACGACGGCGCGCGGACGAGGCTGGCACCGAGACTGGTGGTACCCCCGCGCGCGCGCGGCGGGAGAGGCTGCCCGGAGAGGAGTCAGGGCATCCTGAAGGCTTTGGGAGGGAGAGGTTTCGGCATGAGGATAGATAGAATGCATGCATGTTTTCGATTTGACCAGTTTTGTCTTGGCCGAATGGGTCTTGTGCGAACACCGCCCTGCCTCCGTCTTGGCTTGTGGTCTCAGTGCATGCGAGGCTCTATGTGTGCATGCTGTCAGGGCGCTTGTGTCTCTTGTCGCTGTGAGGCGCCAGCATGTATGAGAAGCGCAACATGTGACATGCGTGACACGAGAGGACACCGTGAAGCCGAACCTTCCCCGTGTATCCCTGAGATGGGCGGGGCGGAGTCCTGCCTGGGAAGAGCCGGGCTTACCTGTGAATCCACCCACC